AACTACTCGCTTTGAATCATTATGACTACGCTTGGTCGTCTAACAAAGGGCCAATAAGAACCATGAAACATATACAAGTATAGAAAAATACATGTGCATTCATAACTTTTAATTACTAGTGCATTTGTAATAAATAAATATCTTGGAAGGGGATAACTAACAATATATTATGTTCCAGATAAACATCTAAATTTGTATTACGCTGTGCATATTTCATTACAGATAAATTGTATTCCTGATTGTAAATAATGTAAATAATTTAAGTTAAACTAAAGTAAGAAGGCATACTTCAGTCCCATAAACATCTGTGATAATTATGATAACTAAGGTTTCAATATTGTATATCTTGTAAATAATCATTAACCTTCAATATATATATATATATGTAAATACATGTAAATAAAATATGTATCAAATATGATTATTGATCAATGTCGTTGCTGGTTATATCATGTGATATACTAACATCTTGTTTACATTTGATTTTTATCAAAAAACCTGATAATAGTAGAAGTCATTTATTTTACATGCGTTTGGTTTTTTCCTGATAAAAGGAAGATATTTGAAAAAAAACAGTCAGAGATTTCCATTGTCTAAGGTTATACAGGTTTGTTTATTTTTTACCTTTACGTTTATTTTGGAATTTATATTGTTAGGTTGCTGTCTCATTTTCGAATATTCCGCATCTTATTTTATTCATTTTGAGTAATATGTATAGATCTGTCGCTTTTTCGGAAGAAATCGCAAGACGCAACATCACGAACCACACCAAAACAGCTAAGCTGAACTCTTTACTTGTGACACCCGCTGTGTTACTCTTGTTAAATATTAATACTTTTGATGATAGCAGACATCATATAATAGATGTTGGGTTTCTTGTCTAGCCCTAATTCATAACCATCGGTACATATAAACTATCTAACCCTTATCTTTACCAAATGTGAAAGTTGAGATGATAAACAAAACAGGTTTAATGTTTCGTTATATCAGTCTTAATTGTTTTAGCACAAATCAGGTCGTTTCGTTTGTTTTCTCGTTTGAATTGTTTACATTTGGTCATGTCTGGGCCTTTTATAGCTTACTATCCGGTATGGATTTTGCTCATTGTTGAAGGCCGTATGGTGACCTATAGTTGCTATATCTATCCGTCATTTGATCTCTGGTGGATAGTACTACATAATTTTGATTTTGGTTAAGGATGTCCTTCTTATACCTTTTTTGATAGTATTAAATATTAACCAAAATCTGTCAAAAGTGCAGTTGTGAGCGTGGTTAGGCATTGATAATTTGGTCTCGTGTTAGAAAATTCCTCCCAAATGATGTTTAAACTTTAGAGTACACATTTCAATCGATGACACTGTGAATTTTACAAAAGATTAAAGGACTATAATTAGAAAATGGCCCTGGTGTAAAATAAATTCAGGGAACATTTGCCTTTCATCTTTTGATGTTTAGAATCGCATATAACTCTTTAAAAGCAATTCCGAAAAAAAATCTAAATCGAAAAGTCGCTAACGTTCACTAATCCAAACAACAAAGTTTAAAAAAGAGGGGCAAAAGATACCAGAAGGACATTCAAACTCATAGATCGAAAATAAACTGACAACGCCATGGCTAAAAAAGAAAAAAACAAACAGACAAATAATAGTACACAAGACACAACATAGAAACTAAAGACTAAGCAATTTGAACAAGTCGTACATGTACTTGTCATGGATCTGACTTTTAAGTCTTATAACTTTAAAAAGACAAAAAGTAAAGTAACAAAAATACCGAAAATTCAAAACGGAAAGTCCTTTATCAAATGGCAAAATCAAAAGCTCAAACACATCAAACGAATGAGAAACAACTGTCATATTCCTGACTTGGTACAGCCATTTCTTTATGTAGAAAATGGCGAATTAAACCTGGTTTTATAACTAGCTGAACTTCTCACAGTTCTGACAGTTGAATAGAATTCCATAATATTGACAACAGTGTGTGAGCAAAAAAAACCAGACATAATAGGTAAAAATGTAAAAAATTGGGATACAGAGCTTTCTTCATTTATCCCAGCTATTAAACTGATACACGCATGCTCAAATCATTGTGACATATATGCACAATTGACTTTTGAAATATGACAGTGAAAGTCACATATTACTCTGGAATGACAAACATTTTTTTTTTCAAATTGATCCACTATTATTAATCCAAACAACAGCGTTATGTTTCAAGAAAACTCTAACTAAAGCAAGTTAGTGCGCGATAATAGTATACTAGTATGTGAAAATTGCTTTAAATCTCACAGGTAACATCCTGTAACTCTGTAACGAAACACCGGCAAAAATAAAATGGTCAGGAACCTTTCTTCAAAGATTCAATACAAATTGAAGAAATTTGTCTATTGCTTTTGTAAGATGTGTTAAGAGAATGACGGACAGACGGACGGAAAAGGATATACAATAAAGAATACTATGTTTCGTCAACAAGTGGTGTATATAAACTACTTTTCATTGTCGCGCGAAAATGTAATGAGTTGGTATTGTGTGTAAGAAATTGGAGACTGTTATTGCGTAAGCGCAATTATTCTGAAGTACATGTAAAACAGTTGTCAGTCGATTGCATACTGTACAAATACCTTTAATCAAAACATTTAGCACAAAATTAATCACGACTATATCTTCTATTTTTTTCAGCCGTTATAGAATAGTCATACACGCATGCACTTAAAACGGAGTGAGAGCAGGTGCGTCTTTGAGATAGGCTTCTCCAGGTTTGCATGTAAACCCAGTCACATGATTCTAAAGTATTATTGTATACCAGTAGTAATCGTCAATTGCAGAAACATGCCTAGCCTGATACGGTTGTAATAATGTCATGAAATGGATATAGTAGACATATTGTAAAATGACATCTTGGCCCAATATGTCATTTGCGTCGATCTCACAGTGTTAGACATAAGGGTGCTATGACAGCTTTAATTGTCACTATTGAGTTGATAAAGAGACACTTGAACAACCCATGGTGGAAAATTATAACTTAATTGTGAAGTGAAAAATTTTGGAAAACGACAAGATTTGATGCCTATTTGGCCCTATAAATATGTCGAAGATAAAATAATTGGATGACACATTTACGCGTTACTTGTTAAACACCCTCAATACGCTTTATCGCTATTTCTCCGCCATTACTGGACACCACAAAGGTCAAGTAAAATTTTTACGTCACAATAGAACATTTCTGACTCCAAAAACAAAAAAGTGATTGTTGTATAACGTCAAAAGTTCAACTATCGCAAATTCTCAGGTCAAGTGTCGCAGAATCCCAATTAGCGATTAGGTCTATGGAGTCTTTAATTAAAATGACAGTAACTGGTTAGTCTTGATGACGCAAATTGATTGGGATGTCATTGAAGTGACGTCATAGTGGCGACTTACCCAATTCAAGTTAAAAAAAAAAAAAGGCTAAATTCGTGAACATATTTGTTAAATTAGTATAGATCACACTCTTCACCTTAAACATTTGTTTGTCAACAAGTAGTAAGCAAAACATATACATCCTGTGTGGATGCCTTTTTGGGCGAGACGTCTTCTTTGTATTATTTCGTAGCATCTGTGTGTCAAATTGTCACATTTATCGGTAAATTTGTATTTTTACTGAATGCACTGCCCTTTGGTGGCATTATTACCAATGAGCTACAAATTTTTTAAACTGAAAATCAAATGCTTGATTATTTATCACAGATTCAAGATTTCATTCTGCAAATTTAAGAATTTTTCAAATACGATTCTTTATATGGTCAATTTGGTCCGAAACAATACCTTGTCCTTTCAACTTTCGTTTCAAAAACTTCAGTAATTGATCATTTACGCTTCACTTATTTGTCAAATGCTACCATGGCGGATCGTCGAAGACTTTGTTCTAAAATAGGCGTAGCGCTACATCTACGAAAACATTTCCTTGTTGTAAAAGTAACATTGACTTGACTATTTAAATTATTTATTTTATTAACCAAAAAGTTCAGGTTTTTATAATTCAACAAGAAAAAGACAAGATCGAACAACGATTCATATTGCCATACAAAAGCAGTGATTAGGTATCAATTTGATGACAATGAGATAGAAGCAATGAAGATCATAACACTATAAAACTCTTTTGAAAATGTAACTTTCCCTGTTTTATCTAAACAAATTGCTCTTTTTAGAATAAGAAAAAAAAATAAAACTGTTATTAATTCTATGTAAACTAGCTATAGTCGTATCATATATTCTTGTCTGACGCCAACTATATGAGAAAAACTATATATAATACTACCTACAAGTCTCTTTATATTTAAGTAGGGAGAAATAATAAACATAATTTCTATGTTAAAGTTAATATGCATTTTCATTTTAATTATTCATGCGCAAAGAAAACGTATCTAAACTAATTAGAGTGAAGATATTCTTCAATTAAACTATATAATACTATAACATACAATATTCCCATGTTCCTGATTAAATACATTTTGTACATGTACCATTTATCTCACTAAGTATAAAATCTCCCAAGCAGCTACGTACCCTGACAATATTGTAGTAATTGTAGTAAACAAATGCGAACATATATGCATGTGGCCACAGTATAGTCAAAAAAAGAAAAAAATATGACCTTCTTTATACATGATATTATTCATCGAAATCTTTGAACAGTTTGTGCAGGCTAAATTTCAATTTAAACAATTTGGTCATAATTAAAATTCTCCTAACTAAACGGCCATGGATCGATGTTATAAAGCAATATATAAGTTGGGAGAATTTAAATTTAAATTTCATTAATACAATGACTTATCAAATTAAGCTTATCAAAACAAAAAATTAAAATACCAATCAAGTGAACAAGCAAAGCAAATTAAAATATTATTGAGGCAAAATTGATATAGCTTTACTACAAATACGATAACTTTAATAGTTCTGTCGGTATAGTTATCTACTCGGACATCCTCGTGTGTTTTCTTTTAAAGTGTGTACATGATCAGACTTATTTTTATCGATATAAATGTTTACGTCAACAGATTTTAACAGTATATAAACAGAATGATTACTCATATGGATCATAACATATCTGTATTCCAAGGCACACAGACAGCAAGAAATATACTGTAATAAAAGTGAGTATTATTTTCTTATCAACAAAACGCAGCTACAGCAGCTACATATCAGTTATTTTCAAAAAGGATCGACCAAAACGGGTGCCAGTAGTAAATTATGTTTCAAAAAACAAAAATGTTCGGCGATGAGTTGGGCTTAAACAACTTATTTGACCAACTGTATTTGAATCTGCTCCAAACCAGTAACATTTATAGATAACAATAGGAGGGAATACAAGGTAGATAAAAGATGTGTTTAAGCATACCCTGTACATTAAAAAAATATAATTTTCAATTAAGTATGATTAATATTCATTATAATTTTTAGGTAAAAGATGGCTATACCAGGTGGACCGATTGAAATATGCTTTTCTTTTGATACGACTGGATCCATGTCTGGCTGTATCAATGAAGTGAAGGGAAATGTTCAGGACATGATACAACGCCTCCAAGCGGATATTCCTGGTATTAGGATGGCAGTATTTGCTCATGGTGACTACTGTGACAAACACAACTACATCACGAAACATATTGACTTCTCTACAAATGTAGCAGAATTATGTACTTGGGTAAAAAATGTTGGATCTACTGGCGGTGGTGATGGTGATGAATGCTACGAACTTGTTTTACAAAACGTCCAAAAGCTGTCCTGGACACCAGGGTCAAAGAGGGCGCTTGTGATGATTGGTGATGCTGATCCACACGAACCTGGATATAAATATGGCGGGAAAACTTATAAAATAGACTGGAGGAACGAAGCATACCAGCTAATTACAATGGTAAGTTCTTTTGTTTAGTATAATGTTCATAACTATATTTAGAAAAAGACCTTTTCAACGGGAAATATTTTATACTTATTATCCCAAAAATCAACTTAATCTCATATTATAGAAAAACAAAGGATATGGGGTATCCATCCATGACTCAAAATCAGTACATGCACAGCAACAAAAAACCACACACAATAAGCAAAGGAACAGAGCTCTTATTGCTGTTCTTCATCTCAAAGTGAGACCTTCAACACGGAGCAAAAAAAACTCTCACCTCACTGCAAGTTTAAGAGGGCCTCTGGCACCGGCTTGAGCGGAATTCTTTGCAAAAATAAATTTGAACAAACTTTGTAAGATGCAACACCACCTTATCAGGCCCGGTCAAAAAAGAACATACTGGACAGTAGTACATATTTAAAACAAAATAGTTCCTACGCATAGGTGTAAATCTAAAACTTTTTTAGTAATTAAGGTATCAGATGAAAGGTGAAGGACTAGTGATCCTTGTAGAATACATAATTTACTGATAACTTTGAATAATACAAACATGTATGAATGAATTTACATGTTATATATACAGTCCTTTTAAAAAAGGTTGAATTGTCTATATTTATACAAATGATTAGTACATTTGTATACATATTTTTTATGTGATAACTTGCATGTTTTCTCCTTGCATTATTATTGTAAAAACATATTTCAGAATGTTAGAATATATGGCGTACAGTGCAGAGGTTATAATTCAACGAAGGACTTTTACAAAAAGATATCTACTGCCACTGATGGCAAATGTTTAGAATTAGCAGACTTCAGCAACATGTTTGACTTTATGATGGCAATTTGTTACAGAGAACATGATGAAACTCTCCTACAGGTAGATATTTAATATTCCATCAAAATGATTTTGATCTAGAAGACAATTATGAACTCAATTCAAAACAAAACTAACCTAGCCCCAAATGAACGGCTGTAATTATTACATATTGAAATTCAAAAATAAATATAAAAATATCTTAGTTCACCGATCAAGGACCAACAAGTGAAAATGACGATTAATCATTATAGTAGGAGGCATACAAAAGAAACAAACAATTTTCACCATATCAGAAAAGTTTAACATTTATCAAAATTCAAGGCACAATATGCTTGTTTCTAAAAGATGTTCATTTCATTTTTAGAATTACGAGAAAGAGGTTCGAGCTAGAGGGTCGACGGTTCATAAAGATTTAGATGCATTATTTGGAAAATTGAGATCAGACGCTGATGTCATGGATACAGTTTCTGCTCCCATTACAAAGATACCATCGTTGACAAAGCCGGGATCTATCAAAGGCCTAAAACCTAGCCCAAAGCCAGTTCTTAAGAAAACGTTAAAGACAAAGACGCCACGTTTCAAATCAAAGCACGATAAATTGACGGAAAAACGGAAGAACAGGCTTTTTGATAAGTACAAGGTATGGCATTTGGATGTGATATTAGCAGTCAGTTACAAACTGTGTTAGTGATTAAACATATGTAAAGAAATTTCAGTTACTTAAGTTATTATATAAACGTCGTTTCAAAGATATATTATACTAGGATAATAAATAGATTAAAATTTACAAAAGAATCTTAACTATATAGGACCAATTTTGGAAATACAACCGTTTTATAAGAGACTACTTTTGTACATTTCAGCTAGAAAACTTGCCAAAACTTAAGAGGGAAAATGTTCCAGAAACAAATTTCATGTTGAAAAGCGCACATTGGTCAAAATGGCATTTAGCAATGGCACCGTCTGTACCAGCTGACAAAGAACACATGTGGGAAAAACGACATGGGGATTCAGAAGGATACAGAAGGAAAGTAATTTGTGGCGGACTTTACAAGAAACCAGCTTTATACGAATTCTCAGTGCAAACAGGCGAACGATGCAAGAGATACGTTGTTTACTGCAAGTCAAGTAAAGGTTTCAGTTTGGATAGAGGATCATGGGAAACTAGATTGTTGAAAAAGTCAGACGTGAAATCTCAGATTAATGTCATTTTGAAAAAGGACATGCGATTGTTTGTCAGGAGTTCTCCGTTAATGAAAAGCCATGAGAAACTACTTGCGTTGAATCACTATGACTACGCTTGGTCTAACAAAGGGCCAATAAGAACTGTGAAACATATACATGTATAGAAATATATATATGGTCACTCATATCGTTATAAATACTGAAGCATTTGTAATAAATAAACAGCTTGGAATATAATAGCTAACAATACATTATGTCTCAGATAAACTATTATACGTTTGTTACGCTATGCATATTTCATAACAGGTAAATAATTATTCGTAATTGTAAATAATGTCAATAAATGTTAGTTAATTTAAAGTAGGAAGGCCCATTTCAGTCACACTATCTTCTGTGATAATCATGATAACTAAGGTTTTTAGTAGTGTATATCTGTAAATAACTATTAACTTGCTGTATATATGTATGTATACACAAGTAAATAAAATATACATGTCCTGAAATAAAATAAGTATCAACTTTGAATATTGATAACTGTCGTTGCTGGATTTATCGTCGTGTTGCTCATGTAAGTACAAAACTAGTGATAGGTCTAATCAATAAAATTGAGAATGGAAATGGGGAATATGTCAAAGAGACAACAACCCGACCAAAGAGCAGATAACAGCCGAAGGCCAGCAATGGGTCTTTAACGCAGCGAGAAAATCCCGCACCCGGAGGTGGTCCTCAGCTGGCTCCTAAATAAAATTGTGTACTTGTTCAGTGAAAATGGACGTCACACTAAACTCCAAAACATATAAAGGAACTAAAATTAAAAAACATACAAGACTAACAAAGGCCAGAGACTCCTGACTTGGGATAGGCGCAAAAATGCTGCGGGGTTAAACATGTTTTGTGAGATCTCAACCCTCCCCTTATACATGTAGCCAATGTAGAATAAAGAAACACATAGCAATACACACAGTAAAACTCAGTTTAAAAGAAGTTCGAGTCCGATGTCAGATCAGGTAACAAAAGAAACTAAGCAAAATGACAATGATACATAAATTAACAAAGGACAATTAGCAGTTACTGACATGCCAGCTCCAGACCTCAATTAAACTGATTGAAAGATTATGTCTTCATCATACCGTTAGGGGTTTAGTATCATACCATCATAAAATATATGAGAAGAACATAACACGTATCATACAACTGGTAGGTCACATTCGGTGAAAAGGAGGACGGGAATGTGGTTCTGACGATTGGAATATATCCGTCGTCATCTGTGAAAAAGTTATTCCATAGCGGTCAACCAACTCGTGTGATGGTGTCTTAAAGTTATCGAAGGATGATTTCGACTTCACCACTTGGAACTCTTGTTTTGATAGCTTCCTTGTGAGCAGCAACACTCTATCACGGAAATCGTGATAGGAAACGCAAGCCCAAAAATATAGTATCAACTGGGAGATATATACTCCATATGCAGGCCCGGCTGGAATGTTGCTACATAGAAATGGAAAGTTCAACAATCGGGAGGCTGAAATCTTCTCTTTTGTCGTAATGTTTTGTTCTCAACCGACCCCCATTGGCAATTCCTAGATGTAAGTAAAGGATGCTTATCCGCTCCCAAGGATACTAGGTTTGGTTTCTCAAGATGAGAAGAAGATAACGACAAAGAATAAGTGGACAATTAAAAAGTGTATTTGAGAACATTTCAAGTGATGGAAATATTGTTGGGTTTAGTGGTTCCAGAGTTATTGATTCAGAAGCCCGGGAAATGTCCATGGAGGTTGACAAGCCAACAACACCACCTGTGGAGATTGGAAGAAAAATACAAAAGGTCACGAGACCAACTCCAGTGCACGCACCAAGAGGCAAGGTACAGGATTTAAGACAAAAATTGGAAAAGACTTTGGCCCCTAAATTAGTGAGTACCCCTAAGACTCAAACTATTAGGAAAATGGAAACAGTTGATACAAAGGACCGATCCGTAAAGGAAACAAGATTTGTGACTACGTACGTGAAAATAATTATGAAGAAAATGGCAAATAGATCCCCATCATTTAGAAGAAAGTGCCAGCTGATTCGAAGTAGACATTCCTAGTTTGTCTTTAGTGGTAGTCCAAATTCCTACATGTTTGAGCATAACCAGAAATTTTTGTGGTAATAAAACATAATCCAGGATACCAAGATAACCAATAGTTGTACATAGTTTTATTTTGAAGTTACTAATAAACAACAAGCAAGGACGAATGATTTTTTAGGCATGGGTAGTGTAACGAAAATACCTGTTATGGCATGAAATAATTCAGGGGAATGGAAAGGGTTTAGACATGTCAAGTTCGTTTTTTATTTATTTTATTAAGTTCCTCCTAAGTTCAGTGCAGAATTTCTTGAAACACCCCTTTTATAGACTTGATATCAGTCGTGTAACTAGTAAACCTTCCAAACTACCCTTAACTTACAATGAGACTTGAACTCATCCATTTGGGTAGTATATAATGCAGGAGAGGCAGTAGTTCAGAATCGGAGTTTTGATCATTCTCCAGAATGTTGGCGGATTTATAGATATTGTGAAAAGTGAGTATAATTTATTCTTTGGATTAAGATAGTGAATACCAAGTGAAGAGTGAAGTATTATTAATAGTTCTAAGATTCGGAGTTCTAATAATATATTCAATGAATAAATGAGTGATAGTTATTTGACAGTGTGAATATATAGTGTTCAATTTGATAGTTTAGTTGTGTATAGTTGGGTTAATTGATTTTGAATAGTCAATAATTCATTTTGCCGAAGTTGGAGTGTTCTTTTTCTGTTGATCATTCAAATGTAACCATGATTATACGTCATAATGTTTCATATTGCTACCAAGTGGTCAATTTGACAGATAGTGCTAGTTATTGACAATGCCGTTTGACTTGACATGTTTGTTTCATTGTGCTGTACAAATTGACTTGTTTGTTTCATTGTGCTGTACAAATTGACAGTACCGTTTGACTTGTTTGTTTCATTGTGCTGTACAAATTGACAGTACCGTTTGACTTGTTTGTTTCATTGTGCTGTACAAATTGACAGTACCGTTTGACTTGCTTTGTTTCATTGTGCTGTACAAATTGACAGTACCGTTTGACTTGCTTTGTTTCATTGTGCTGTACAAATTGACAGTACCGTTTGACTTGCTTTGTTTCATTGTGCTGTACAACGTGATAGTTGACTACTGTGTTATCTTGCTATCCGGAAGTCAGTTTGATAGATAATGTAAATTAACCGATTAGATGTACAGTGCTGTTTACAAGTGTTACTTTCTTCAGAATTATGAATACGTTGATTTAAGCTATCTTTTTTCATATTGAGGTGATTTGCAGATAACGACTCAGATTTTTTTTTTAGATATATTTTGAAAACTGGAATTCGTTCATTTTGGTACGAATCCATGTGATTGCTCGGGTTTATATGTTAGATAAAATAAAGAAAGAAATAATCTATATTTCAGGAGGATAATCCCATTATTTAAAACTAATCTTCCTGAGAGTCCTCAAAATAATAATAACACAAATATCTAGTGCATTTTCATTCTTTCTTTTTTCATATTTAATGTAAATTTACATTTCATGATAAACCACTTGCCGTACGCAACACGACGGTTGCTAATGATGGTTATTCCTTAAGACCCCCTTTGATCGTATACTGTTGATTCATAATTGTCCATGGGATATACATTTTCGTGGATTGCATTGGTAAAGGAATACTATGTATACAGTTATTCAATGAAATAAAAGTGTTGTATAGGCTTATATGATCACAGAATTAGTGAAAACCACGATTAAAGTATCAATATAATTACAAATTCTCCTGTATCCACGAAAATTGGTGCCTACGAAATCAAAAGAATTCCCAGTATCTTTTAAATTGCTTATGTAGCTGTACATTTTTAACTTTCATTTTTCAGACTTGAGCGAATCTGGTGAAGGTGAATGCAGAAAAGCGCTTCGGACGCAATAAATATTACTTGTTTGTTAGAGTTACTTCTCTTTAAACAGTGCCACATTTTAATATTGATCTACTAGTATTTATGAGAAACTGAACATAAGAAGAAAGAGATAAAACCATGAGGTGCTCTGATCGTATGCACAGCAGTTTTCAGTGGTCAAATTTTATCACTAGAATATCTATGAGTATTCCAATAGCAGTCATAAAATATATGTAATTAAAGCATTTTTGTCTTACCTCGACGAAGATTTTTCCGGTGATGTCGGCATTTGGTTTGTGATTAGATCAGTTTAAGGGGGACCATAGCTAATGGAAAGTCAATGATATTTGGTAGGGAGTTGTAATCAATCTCATTTCTCTTAATATTATTTGGCCTGAACCTTTCCTGGGTTCATTTAGTTCCAAACTTTACATGCTGAATGTTAAAGCTTATGTTTGTTTCATTGTCGGCAGTTGTATTAGCATTGGCATATCTCATTGCCATGAAGATTATTACAGCCCCTCAACATCAGTCAGGGTCCATTGCCTCACATAGTTTACATGTTAATGTGTTGTGATTTCAATATCATGAAGCAGGTGCTATCTCTGAAAGAGAAAGAAGTCTGTATTATTTTTCGGATACTTTTTGATCATCGAATATATAGATTTGCGGGAAATCGTATGCTTTGCTACATGGTAGCCTCTCCCAACAGAATTATAGCGCAAGTTCAACTGTTGTAAAAGAGTTAAAATTTTGGATTCACTAGTTTATCGATTTTTTAACTGTTTTTTTTTTCATTTTATATTGATTTATTAATCAACTGTTGTGTATCTTCCCTTTTCACGAATGTGACCTACCGAATTAGACTATTTACCGGATTTGTAATAACATAAGCAACACGACGGGTGCCACATGTGGAGCAGGATCTGCTTACCCTTCCGGAGCACCTGAGATCACCCCCAGTTTTTGGTGGGGTTCGTGTTGCTTAGTCTTTAGTTTTCTATGTTATGTCATCTGTACTATTATTTGTCTGTTTGTCTTTTTATTTTTGGCCATGGCGTTGTCAGTTTGTTTTCGATCTATGAGTTTGACTGTCCCTCTGGTATCTTTCGTCCCTCTTCTATCGCAAGACTGAATTCTGAAAATATAAATCCTTTGCTTAAAGAAGCATTTACATTGTCAAAACTGTTGGACTTGCATGGTACTTATTCCTAGTTTACATATGCCAAGACTATTTCTCCCAACCAAGATCTTTTAGATAAAATTACAAATTGTATGGACTTAAATGAAGTAAACTCTTTAAAGCCTTTGATTAAAAATGAACTTATAAAAAAAATATAAAAATAGAATAAATAGCTACATGTATGATGAAAACAGTAAACTATTACTTTATAAGAATTTAAAACTTTAGTTAGCTTGGATAGAGAATTTTATTTAGCTTCAAATTACCTTAAATTTCTATAATAGGTTGAGATCTCAAAAATATATTTAATCACACCAAGTTTTGCGCCTGTCCTAAGTCATGAACCTCTAGCCTTTGTTAGTCTTGTTTGTGTGTGTGTGATTTTTTTTGT